TCAGGAAACAGGAAACAAGGCAACATGAAATGACAAGACTAAACTAGAACGAGAAACTAGGCTCCGTAAAGCAGCTATCACACGGTGAGTGATAAATGCAGAACAATACTAGAGACCAAACAGGAAATAAACACGGAATGGCTTGGTAAAGTAGCTAACACTTGGAGAGTGAAAAACGCTAGACAATACTCGGCGTTGAATGGTGGTGTGGGACTGAAGATATCTTGGAGAGGTGAGGTGTCCAAGTCACAACATCAAACTCATCAGGGCTCAGTTCTTGGACCACTTCTCTTCTCTGCCTACATGGCATCCCTTACGAAAAAGAAGTTTATTCAAGTGTGCTATTAGTATACTTCTTTTAAACTAAAAATAGGAAAGTATACTTTTAGTCTACTTTTTATGTACATCTCAGAAATGGGCTTTATGTACTTCTCAGAAATATACTTAAAATGACATTTAAGTATACTTGACTTATACTTAGAAAAAGTCTAAATATATTTCAGCTATAATTGTGCTCCTAGAATCCATGTTTTCATTGTTATACCTGGCTGCCAATAGCTGCTCGCATAAAATTCAAGGCATTAATGTTTGCCTACAAAACCACCACTGGCTCTGCACCCCTTTACCTAAATTCATTACTTCAGAGTTATGTGCCTCTAGAAGCTTGCGTTCTGCAAGTGAATGTCGCTTTATTGTGCCATCCCAAAGAAGCACAAAATCACTTTTACGGACTTTTAAATTAAATGTTCCCTCCTGGTGGAATGACCTGCCCAACTCAGTCCGAGCAGCTGAGTCCTTAGCCATCTTCAAGAATCGGCTAAAAACACATCTCTTCCATCTTTATTTGACCCTCTAACTCTAGCACTCTCTATTCTAATTCTATTCTTTATCAAATAAAAAAACTTGCCCCTTTTAGACTTGCACTCTATTTATTTACTAACTGCTTGTTTTCTTTAAAAAAAATAACACTTGCTTCTCTAATCTTTTTGTATTCTATCTATTTGTTATCTTTTTATTTATTATACAAATAACAAAAGCATAAAAGGCCTCTAACACTAGCTTGCTATATATTTTTTCTATTCTATCCGTTTTCTTTTTATTTATTATATGATAAAAAAAAAACTTGCTATGTGTACTGCATTAAGCTAACTGAGACTTATTATAGCACTTGTATATCATTGCTCTTTTGTTGATTTTAATTGCTTCCATTGTCCTCATTTGTAAGTCGCTTTGGATAAAAGCGTCTGCTAAATGTCTAAATGTAAATGTTTGAGGATAGACTGTGCACCATTAGACTTATCGAGATGCCCTTGATTTAATATTTTCTAAAGCGCAGGAGTTCATGGCAAGTTTTATTAACAGCATTTAGCTGTGATATTGACTTTGACACATTACATAATAACCTTGCCTTTTATAAGCAATATAAAGCTGAAGTAAAAGAGACAGATTGTCATTCATGTATTTCATTAACCTCTCTTACTCACTGTCACTAAAACAATTACATGCACTGATCAACAGAACACTTGTGCTAATTTCTGAGGGCGGCTGTTTCAATTGCTTCCAGTTACTCAGCTATTTAAATTCATGAAATAATGAACATGTGAGCTCCCCTTCAGTGCTCTATATACTGTAACTCCATCAGATGTCTGATTAACAAGGGACTAGGCCTGGACTGTGGTCTTTTATGCCAATTACAGTCTGATAATGGCTACTTAGCAACATACTCTAATAAATGCTGCTGGGATTTTTTCCCATTTACATATATAATGAGTGGAGATGTATTGGGTTTTGGTAAAACATCACTTTTGGCTAGGATTTATGTAACAGATGAGGTTTCAAACTCATTTACAAGCCACAGTTGCAGGGCAGGCTGAGATCACCTTAAATCTCCACACTTCAGTGCATCGTAATTATGAAAATGCACGATTAATCCAATTGAGCAAGATGCTATACTTTGTCATCTGTTGACTGTCGCCTGACGTGCTGCTTGTTGAAATGAGCAGAATTCATTGAATACCCAAAGCGTGCCTGTGGTTGCATTCTTCGACTCAGATAATACAAGCATGCATAACAGAAATGCTTACAGTCATTTATGCATGCTTTGTTTTGTCTTGGCAATGTAAATTCCAGCCAGAACTGGGAGAGAGCCGTGTGGTGGGCGACTCAACCCACACAGTGCTGACTGGGTCACTCTGGCCCACCTGTTCCTGACAATGACCGCTCAGTTCTGGGGTCTGCACCGGACCATCTGGAACAATAGAGCAAGTCTACCATGCAGGAGCGGTGAAACTGTAAAGATTAGAGTGTGCTTAAATAACTGCAGATGTTCTGTGTTTTGCTGTTTATGGTGAAAGTAATGTATTTAACCAAATCTATAGCCTCCATAAAGAAAACCTCACAAAAGCTGAAAGGCAATCTGTTGAAAACAAAAGCTGAATTTAGGCAACGTAACAGACAAAACTAAAATGTTTCTAAAATGTAAGTTACTTATTTCTTATTGAATTGTTATAATAACAAAATCACGATCGATTGTGTGTTATAGTCGTCGTTTATGCATGCTTTGTTTTGTCTTGGCAATGTAAATTCCAGCCATAAATGGGAGAGAGCCGTGTGGTGGGCGACTCAACCCACACAGTGCTGACTGGGTCACTCTGGCCCACCTGTTCCTGACAATGACCGCTCAGTTCTGGGGTCTGCACCGGACCATCTGGAACAATAGAGCAAGTCTACCATGCAGGAGCGGTGAAACTGTAAAGATTAGAGTGTGCTTAAATAACTGCAGATGTTCTGTGTTTTGCTGTTTATGGTGAAAGTAATGTATTTAACCAAATGTATAGCCTCCATAAAGAAAACCTCACAAAAGCTGAAAGGCAATCTTTTGAAAACAAAAGCTGAATTTAGGCAACGTAACAGACAAAACTAAAATGTTTCTAAAATGTAAGTTACTTATTTCTTATTGAATTGTTATAATAACAAAATCACGATCGATTGTGTGTTATAGTCGTCATGATTAATTTCAGAAAAACACCTGTTGTTTGCGAGATGTAACTTAAACTGAAGTAATAAATACCAGTTGACGTAAATGGAGCATATTTTCTGAAAGAACAATTTTATGCTGTGTTGGTGTCTACCTGCCTCTTTCCCATTATTCACTTTTGAAAAATGGCTTGTGTAAAAATATCACAGAGTGCAAATAACATTCAAGTTGTTAATGGCCAAGTTCAAGTTGGCTAATGGTTACGTTCAGCATTATTACATCATTAAATAGCTCTACTGATGAATGATGTCAACTACCGAATGACATAGTTTAGACTATCCTGGAAATGCATAATGCAATTTTCCAAAGTGAAATTTAACCTAATTTGTCAAGGTAATGGTTTTAGTAATTACATTTAATTCACGTTTTACGCCATTTTTGCTGAGCTAAACACAACACCTCGAGTGGACGACTACTACCTCTGAGCAATTTGTGCTGGCACACACAAAAACGGCTTTAAGACATCCTAATGCTGTCCTCGCACTGAAACATTCTGCTGATGTGCAGTTTGTTTGTAAGACTGACTTTACTCAAAATAGCTGGTTTCTAACCTGGGATATAAGAATGAAGTCTGTTCCTGTTCCTTCTGCTGTTCGTTTACAAAAGTTCATAAAATGCAGTTAAAAATGTAATGTTGTGCCTCAGCACCGCTGCATAGCTATAATTATGGCATATGACAATATGCTTTGAAGCATGAAAGCGCATAGTATTCTTCCCTCAGCAAATGCCAGCCTTCTTTCTGCTCCTTCCTATCATTGCACTGCTGTTATGTCAGGCTGAAAGTGCTATATCAGTTGCTAATGGTTATTTTGACACATTAAATCATCTTTCATGTCACTCTGGATGTGAAGGAGTTTCCTGTGTCTCCGTCCCTCAGCCTATTTCTCAGCCTTGCGGTGGAGATTTGTCATGAATGGGCCTCGTGGGGAAACTCATTCAGCAGCATGACTGAGCAAGACAATGGATTTTCAGTCCTGCATTTGCACATTCACACCCTGCCCGTCTTCTAAGTGTCACTCGTAAGATTCCCTGTTGGCTCGAGGGAATGAAAACCTGGATTTTTTTTACTTAGTATTAGCCTGTTTCCAAAGGGTCATGAGTGCACTACGTCCTGTTCAGCCTTGGGACGGTGTGACATAACAATCCCGTCTCATAAAGCCGTGATCGAACACTCTCCAGACAGAGTAACATCTCAGCCAGCAGCCACAGGGCTTCTGCTGTGCGCTAGGTCACTTCAAAATGAGGTTACTGTCTAGCCGGAGTCGTGCCTCCTTGGGGAATGATAATTTCTTATTAATTTTTCAGTTCTGGAAAGGATAAAAATGGTCGTTGTGCCTTTGTAAAATTTTCCTTAATTGTTTTTTGATAGTTAGTCGCTTGCTTTCACTTGGCAAACTTTAAGTCTCGCATGTCTGGATCAGAGCCAGAGATCTCATGGTCAATAAGTGCGAGGAGCTCATTTGATATTAAAATCCATTTGGAGGCAGTTGCAGACATCAAACTTGGCATTATCCAGCAGTTCAGTGCCAGCGGTGAAATGTGAATGCAGCCATAGTCTGTGGACGCTGTCATTGTTTCCAGGACCCTCATCTCTCAGTGAAGGACGGCACACAGGCTGCCTCTGAAAAGCCTGTTGTTTTTCCCTGAATGCAGGGGAGCTGAATACAAGTGATTATCATCCAAGATCTGCCTGCTTTCTATAGCCAAGTTCATTTATTCTCTCAGTGACAATCAATAATACCTGGCTAAACACAGAGATTCGATTTAAAAAAGAGTTTCTTTTGCACTATATACTAGAGCTTAATAAATGTATGAATCATTTGAGGCATAGATCAATTGTCTGATGTAGCAGATCTGTTTTTTTTTTTTTTTCATTTATGAATGATGAGCTCACAACAATGCCTTCTTTAACAGAAAAACATGTAATTTCATGATGTTCTTCTTCATGTGTGTTTGTTTACAGGAGGCAGAATGGCATTGCGATGAGTTTACCAAAGGAGCCTGTTTCAGTCGAGGCAAATCAGAGGTAAGTACCTTTCACTTTCAGAAACAAAAGTACAAAAACTGTCACTGGGGTAAGTACTCTTTCAAAAGGTACTAATACGTACCTTTTAGGTGCTATTTTGTACTTTTATGCACCCTTTAGGGATATAAAGTTGTGCCACCACAGTGACAGCTTTTGTACCTGAGAGTGTTTTAAACTCTCCAAATATTTGATATTTTGGTTAAATTGAACAGTGTAAGAATTATAAAAAATTATTTTGGGGGGATCCTTTTTTTAGCTAATTTTGGAAAACTTAAAAAACAAATATAAATACTTTGATTCGGCAAGGATGCATTAAGTTGATCAAAAGTGACAGTAAAGATATTTATAATGTTAGTGTGAGTGGTGTATCATGGTTTCCACAAAAATACTAAGCAGCATAACTGTTTTCATCATTGATAATCACTGATAATCAAATGTTTCTTGAGCACCAAATAATTGAAAAAAAAAAGTTTAAAATATCTTTAAGTTTGAACATTACAGACAAGCAAGTTTATGGACCAAGAACCCTTCACTTCCCAGAATTCCTTTATCTGCTATACTTCCTGTTATTTTAATTCAACTTCCTGTTCCAGAACAGTTTAATTCAGATTCAACCCGTGAATTGAAAAGGAACCAATTTTTAAATTCTGAATTTTGCCTAAACCTACTGCATAAACATCTGCTATTTTGACTTTTTTAAACAAAACACTTTTTATATCCATAATAGTACCTATTTATGTATTGTTGAAATAACGTCCAATACTGATCCTAACAGAAACCACTAAAGCAGCATTCTGTTGCTATAGTAACAACCTCAAATGCACACCATTTGGTGTCACATGGAAATATATGAGCTAACAAACTAGTAATCTGACCTTTGTGGTTACTGAAACATTGTAATATGTTTCAGACCTACCTTTTGTTTTGACTTCCTTTGGTGGGGGAGGAGAGGGGTGAATTCAAACCCCCAAACCCCACTGTAATTTGCACCCTGAATGAATCTTGTTTTAAATATTACCTTACTTAAGAAAGCAATCACCCTCCTAATATAGCTAACCCATTATTTATGACATCGCTCTTGCTCAGGCAATTACCATGTCTCTTCCACTTTGCTATGGAGCCGTTTCCATGGCACTTCAGCACTGACTCCCTTGTGTTTTTGAAGGCTGACTGAATCAAAACAGATTTGTACTACAAAATGTTTCTGAAATCTCCATAATATTTCACTCTAGCTCTGTCAAACATGATACGGAGGGTCCCCCTTTGCTTTATAGTATGTTGAGCCATTTTACGTAATATGGGAGCTGTATAGGGACTGTGTTTGGGATTGGCGGTCATCCTTCCAGCCTGGGCCGAACCCCAAGGTGTACTTCTAGTGGCTCTAGTGCGGGTTCAGCCTGTGCGAACAGCCCCACAAGTGTTTTGTTTTTTTATTCACTTGTGAAATGTGTTCTGAAGCCCATAATAAGATGGATCACTCTGAGCAACATGTGACTGTAATTCAGAATTGCAGGAGGTGGCTGTCATAACTTGCTTGCAATTGTGGAGTCTTGCTGTATCGACTGCACATGTGGTAGCTCTAAATATCTCTAAAGTAATAGTTCACACCCCCCAAAAAAGAAAATTTGGTTCCAAAAATGTGCCAGACTTTATGTGGAACACAGAAGGATGCATTTTGAATGATGTGCTGGTTGCTCTTTTCCATGCAATTAGATTGAAGATTTTCAAGCTTCAAAAGGTACACAAAAACACCATAAACATATCCTAAAATGCTGTATTCTAAATGTTTTGAAGTCATATGATATCTTTTTGTGAAGAACAGACCAAAGATCACTCAGTTGAATCAATCACTTAATTGAAAAGCTCTGCATGAAGTTTGAACTTCTCTCATGATTTCACAAATCTATCATATGGCTTCAGAAGATTTGAAATGTAGCATGCAATTTGTATGGACCACTTTTACGATACTTTATAAAGCTTGAAAGCCTTAGTCCTCAAAAGAGTGACCAGTACGATTCTTCAAAATCCTCCTTTTGTGTTCCAAAGAAGAAAGAAAGTCACGAGTTTGTAACAATGTAAGAACAGAATTTCCTTTTTTTTTTTTTTAAGTGAGCCAGGAATGGCTCAATTATGACTTCATCACGTTTTGGTTGTTTTACACATCACAAAGCAATATGAAAAGGTTTTTTTTTCTTTTACAAAACATTATCTTTAATTGAATTTCATGAGTAGTTGAGTGAGCCAGGAATGGCTCAATTATGACTTCACGTTTTGGTTGTTTTACACATCACAAAGCAATATGAAAAGGTTTTTTTTTCTTTTACAAAACATTATCTTTAATTGAATTTCATGAGTAGTTGTGTCTTTCAACCGCTGCATCTGGTTTCCTTGAGTCTGTTGTTTCAAGAACAAAGGAAAGTGTTTGATGGAGTGAATGGTGTTCTGTCGACTTTTTGTTTATAATGCAAACAGTGCAAAGCAGCCACTATATTACACAATGGAGTGTAGCCGTCTGTCAGGGGTTTTCATAAACATGTCACATCATGATGTGGTAGGCATATTAAATCTCAGTTTATTTACGCATACAGCAAAGCACTGCTCCCCAGCCAAATTACATTAGTAAATGTAAATCATCCTTTTCTTTTCAGGACTCCGCTTAGTGCAGGGAAATGAACAGCTTCACGAGTTAACAACCATTATGATGAGCAAATAAAGTTGACCCCCTCAAGCACTGCCTTGGAACACCTTTAAATCAACAGAGGGCGAGACGGGGCGACAGGGTTTCAAGTACTTGAGACAAGCATGATTTACTGGCTCCTAAATTCTCAAAAAACCTTGTAAAAACACACTGAACTGAAGCAGTACAGTTCAAGAAGTCCTGCAGCTGGTCTAAAATAGCAGAAAATCTGATTGGAAGACAAATGTAACCTAGCTTCTGTACTATAAAGGCTTCGTATTTCTGGAAGTTGACCAAAGTCCTTTAAGGGAGGGAGTTCATGCAGTGACCATTTTAGAAACACCACAGACAGCTATTTTTGCTAATGTAGCCTTTACCTAATTTAGTGGAGAAAGACAGAAATATTCAAAACTCATTGTGAAAATTACATTTAGGAACATTTCATGTTAAAACATTATTCAAATCAAACAATAATGGACTCATAAATTCGGGCTAAAGTTGCGATGAAGCAGAAGTAGTGACAAACCTTTTCTTTTGTATATTCAGTGTCAGTTCACTTTATTTGTAAAGCACAATTAAAACAACAGCTGTTGGCCAATGTACTGTACAAAATATAGGTTAAAAGGGACATCGGATGCAAAATTCACTTTTACGTGATGTTTGCACTATGAAAACACGTACATCTGAATGTAACAGATTATAAAACAAAAAAAAAGTCAGAATTTAAACAGAAGATTAGAAAAGTCCAGCATATATTATCAGAGAGATGCCAGTCATTTCACTGGAAGATTGGTGTCATTCTGATTTTTTTTCTTTTTTTTTTTTTTTACTGATACACATGGATGAAGAAATATTGAAAACTCATTGTGAAAATTACATTTAGGAACATTTCATGTTAAAACATTATTCAAATCAAACAATAATGGACTCATAAATTTGGGCTAAAGTTGCGATGAAGCAGAAGTAGTGACAAACCTTTTCTTTTGTATATTCAGTGTCAGTTCACTTTATTTGTAAAGCACAATTAAAACAACAGCTGTTGGCCAATGTACTGTACAAAATATAGGTTAAAAGGGACATCGGATGCAAAATTCACTTTTACGTGATGTTTGCACTATGAAAACACGTACATCTGAATGTAACAGATTATAAAACAAAAAAAAAGTCAGAATTTAAACAGAAGATTAGAAAAGTCCAGCATATATTATCAGAGAGATGCCAGTCATTTCACTGGAAGATTGGTGTCATTCTGATTTTTTTTCTTTTTTTTTTTTTTTACTGATACACATGGATGAATTGTTGACAATAAGATCAATAACATCCATTTGGAGAATATATGTAGGGTGAATTTTCATGTTGACGACTTATTATGAATATGATTTCACTCATTTTTTGCAAAATTTCTACACTTGGGTAAAATAGTCAATGCTAACAGAAAAAAAAGACTATCAAGATTTTGTTTTGAAACAATTCCATTTTTTCTATTTAAAAATTTTCCATTTTACAGGCTCGTCTTGTGAATGAATGTTTTAGAATAAACAAACTTTTGACTGGCTTTTAACAAAAAGGTGGGACTTCTATTCATTGTGTGTTATGATTTTGCCCACACATTTTTCTGAGTTGGCTCAATTTTGCATTTGTGATGCTAATAGTCAACACTTTTGCTACCGCTTACACATCTTCCCTTATGTCTTTTCACAGGAGGAGTGCCAGAATTACATCCGTGTTCTACTCATCAACGGCGACAGGCTGTTTACATGTGGAACTAATGCATTCACTCCAATTTGCACCAATCGCACGGTAACGTAAACGGACCAATGCACTTAATGTAATGCAGTGGCTTCCTGACCTAATGTTATGCTAGCTTTGTCCCAAGTTCTCTCTCCCACATTGACCTCCTTTGACATTTTCATCGCTGCGTGGGTTGTGTAGCATAGCATGTGGTATTTCAGCCAAAGTCTGTGGTTTATTTCAATAAAAGTTTTGTTCGTGCTTCACCTCAGAAGAAGCTTTCTTGAGATCTAGACAAAAAACAACAACAATAACAACCAAGGCCTTTTTTTTCTAATAAAGTGGGAACTTGTAGTATCTCTAAGTCTCTTGTCCTTTGCGGAAAGTTCACACTTGTTATGCAGGTATTGTGCGAGTGTTTGCACTTTATCTTTGACAATTTATTCCAAAGCATGGGTTGCAGCATAGTTGCCACTTATCACAATAAATGCCACTCAGTGCGGCTGATTGAAAGATCAGCATCTCCGCCAAGCACATTTACTGACATCCCCCATTATTCCCCCTCACATCTCCTAGTTTTCATTCATGCATGTAAGTCTCTTGTGCTCGAATCCCTGAATTTGAATGACTGGATTACTCTTCTATCCTTTCCTCAAACCTGATAATGATGATGACAGTCGATTCGCATACGATGGCAATCATCTCCTCGGTGGCTCTTTGAAGAATGGCAGGAATTATTGACTCAAAGCTAAATTACCCCAAGGATTTACCATCATAAGTACCTTGTGCCAGCAGGAAAGGACTTAGTGCAGCCAGGAAGGCACGAGCGAAAACTCTCCGTCATGTCCTTGTAACGCCGCCAGTAAAGCTGCATCTTTAAACAAACGGCTATCGAGGTTGTAGTGCCGCTCAAACACAGCTGCCGGTCTCCTGAAGAGGCGTCTTTCAACCCACTCCATTAATGTGCATTATGGGTAGCGTGTCGATAACTACGAAGGCTTCCGAGTGCTATTTGTCAGAAGGTGTTCCATCAATAAATGCCTTTCATCTTTCTTCGTGCCCAAGAAAAGGCACATCCGTTCAGGCGTTGGCTCGGGAAGAAGTATCTCCCTGGCACCGATGCTTCAAAAGACTGCTTCGCCTTGCCAAACATGCAAATTCGCCTGACTTTATTGCCAGCTAAATGGGCTCCGGAGTCCTGAAGGAAGCCGAGACACTTCCAGCCATTCGCGGAGGTTTTCTTCGAGCCAACATCAAGGATAATCCCCCTTTACATTGATTACACAGGGCAAGTGTTGTGGCCGTCAGCTGCATGTAAAATAAAAGCATTCAAGTGAGGCCACACAGGATCTAATCCGCCTTCGGGACAGACCGATAGGGTTGAGCACAATGCAGTATGTCAGATTTCCTGGTGCAAAAATAAGCTAGTCACTGAAGGCATGACATTTCGAAGCTGCATAGATAAATTTACTGCTGCTTGAGATGTATTGCTCAATTCGAATACCATTCACTTGTCATTTTTTGAGTAACTGATACCAGATGCATATGGAAGGTAGGAGCGTCATTATAACAGAAGCTTTAACTGGATTTTTCAAACGTGCTTTTGATGCCAATTTTTATCACATTTTTAAATATGATGAACAGGATTTGGCTGTGCTCTCGAAGGAAACAGCACTAACAGCTCTTCAAATCCTCTCCCTTGTGAACATTGCATAAAATAATTTTATTAATTGTTTTCCATTATAAATGTATAAAAAAAACTTAAATCAAGATACATTTATTTGACTAGGAAAATTAATTAGATTCTTAGATGTGTAGTAGTAATTAATTTACTTTCTTAAATAAATATCAAAATTACGTTTTTGCTGTAAGCAAGAAAAAATAATCAGTGAGTTGGGTAAGATAAATAATCTTGTTTTCACTTTAAATTAAGTTTATTCTTTCTTAACCCAATGACCCATATATATATGGGTATATATATATATATATACAGTGGGTACGGAAAGTATTCAGACCCCCTTAAATTTTTCACTCTTTGTTATATTGCAACCAAAAAAAACTTAAATCAAGATACATTTATTTGACTAGGAAAATTAATTAGATTCTTAGATGTGTAGTAGTAATTAATTTACTTTCTTAAATAAATATCAAAATTACGTTTTTGCTGTAAGCAAGAAAAAATAATCAGTGAGTTGGGTAAGATAAATAATCTTGTTTTCACTTTAAATTAAGTTTATTCTTTCTTAACCCAATGACCCATATATATATGGGTATATATATATATATATAAATCACAAATCACACTTTTAAAATGAGGCTTTCTCATATATCCAGGTTTTCCAAGAAGCGGCAATCCTGTTTTTTCAAAGACAAAAAAACAGTTGTTGAGGGGGTGATCAAAAAATATATTGATTTTTAGTTGTTTTATCTTGTTTTTATGCTTGTTTTGTCTTATTGTAAATCATTTTAAGGCCCTCTTGGAAGTTTGCCGAGGATGAGCCTGGTTGAGAACCACTGCTTTAAACCGATGTGGTTCATTAATGGCATCTCCAGTAGTTCAGATGGAGAATTTTCTGAATGTCTCCATTTGCCCACTTGAAGGAACAGAAATCGGTTAAAAAAACTTGGACCAGCACGAAAAGTCATACTTGCTTCCTGTGGTGGAATATCCCTTGTGCTTATTGTATACAAATGGAAATTACCTCCCTGTCATGGTAGCTTCCCATTGCTGGCTAAATGTCATGCTAAGCAAGAATCAAGGCTTTGCCGTACTGCACATGAGGACAGAACGGGTGTGTTGCGAATGATTAGCATTTAGCTATTGCAGCCGCCACTAGACGTGACAACCAAGTAATGAGATAAACATTTTTGCCGTCTCACAAAATAGCACACGACACAGCTGGTAGTAGGCCGAGCGTTTCCGCAGTAATAAATGATTCGAACGGTGAAATAGTTTTCACTGTCACATCAGCGCCTCGCGTAAACAAAATTAGAACATCTTCGAGATTTCCGTCCGTGGAAATGTTTGGACGTATTGGCTTTGTTCAGACTCAAAATAAACTAATACTACATTCAATTATTTTAGATCTGGCTAGATTTTTTTTTTTGTATTCAGTTTGTATTTAATAAGATATTTACTAGCCTTTCAGGTATAAGAATTCCAGGGTGTCTGAATTCAGTCTCTCTTTCTCTGCACAGCTGACTAACCTGACCGAGGTCCATGATCAAATCAGTGGGATGGCACGGTGCCCCTATAACCCTCTGCATAATTCCACTGCCCTCATCACTTCCAGCGGGGAGCTGTATGCCGCCACAGCTATGGACTTTTCCGGCAGGGACCCAGCAATCTACCGCAGCCTAGGAGGACTTCCACCTCTGCGTACTGCTCAATACAACTCCAAATGGCTCAATGGTATTGTATGAAAGATATTTAATTCAATTATGACATTACAAAAAACTAAAGCCATTATGTGCAATGAAGTAATAGGTGAGTAAATGAAAAATTCTATTTTTAGGTGAAATATACCTTTAAAAAACAACTTGACTAATTGTGGTTTTTGACTGAGGCTGTCAGTGCCTAACATTCATGTTCCACAGTAGAGGTTTTGAACAACAAAAGTTTTTTTGGGGTGGGGGGGGTGTTTGTGAGGTGAAATGTTCAGTTAAGTAACGCATCTGTTTTGAAGAACTTTGCTTGTTTAATTAGTACAGTTGTTCTGAACTAGTGGTTCACAGCACAAAAATAGACTGCAGGTTTGTTCTGATGAGGTTTCAAACATCTACAAAACAATACCAATTGCAAAAAAATAAAGTGTAAAGTGTTCGACAAACCTAAACATCAACGTCCAAATTGAAAAAGCTGCCTGAGCTGAAGGGTTTAAAAAGTATTATCAGAAAATCTTGTCAGAGAAGAAATTTACCCGATTTGCATTTACATTACATTAACTTCTACCAATTGATTTTTTCCCCCTTCATGTTGTGCAAATGTGCTAAGCTCCTCACCACAAAAGAAAATGAATTCTCTGTCAATCACAACCACCTCTTCACTATGAATCTTACGAAGTTGGCCATGACGGTTGCTCTTTTTGCCTTTGAGAGGCTTGTGTGTTCATCTGTTTTGAATGGAGAACGTCTCTTACCGTAACCTTTCTCTTCTCCCATGACAAATGAGTTTGTCCATTACCTAAGCATAAGATTAATAAATGCATCTCTATGGGCCAGCGGTTCTGCTCCATGTGCAATCTGTTATTAATCACTGTCATCCTGTCCCCCTTTCTGTCAAACTCAGAGCCCAACTTCGTTTCCTCCTATGACATCGGCAACTTCACCTACTTCTTCTTCCGTGAGAATGCCGTGGAGCATGACTGCGGCAGGACGGTGTTCTCTCGTGCCGCCCGCGTCTGCAAGAACGACATCGGGGGCCGTTTTCTGCTGGAAGACACCTGGACCACCTTTATGAAGGCCAGGCTTAATTGCTCACGGCCGGGTGAGATTCCATTCAACTACAACGAGCTGCAGGGAACCTTTTTCCTGCCTGAACTCGAGCTTCTCTATGGGATTTTCACCACTAATGTGTGAGTAAACACCTTTTGAACACAACACACAGTTTTAAGATATCCACTGTTATGTTCAAGGTTTCAAACCACAAAAGTCAGCTTATGACCCATTATTTTCAGCAGGACTTCACTTTTGTGGTCTGTGTTGTCAGCAGAAGCCTGTAATTAATTGCATGGGGTTTTTGTGTGTGTGTGTGGAGACACTATGATTTTAACACTATACCTTTGCCTTTTTTGTTTTTTTTCCCCCTTATTTTGCTTACCTGCTGTTATCTCTCTGGTAGTGTGTGATCTGTATCACAGTCAGCAATGGACAGATCCATTTTTCACATTATGATCCACTATGCTTTAATGATTGTCAGTAAAAAAAAAAAGGGTGGGGTATAAGTGTGTGTGTGTGTGTGTTTGTGTGTGTGTGTGCTGACTGCCTACTTCTGACTCTGTTCTCAGCAACAGCATTGCCGCATCAGCAGTGTGCGCCTTCAATCTGAGTGCTATTTCCCAAGTTCATGGACAATTATATA